AACTCTTGAAAAATTAAAGTAATTTATTACATGACTTCAGCAAAGTGCCACCTAAAGTACCTCATCCAAGGAGTTGTCCAGTAGTTCAGCAAAAGCTGCAGAAGTTGAAATGATACAAGTTACTAAGAAGAACAAGAATTCTAATAAGCCCTAAACATCAATCTTAAATGTTTGGAATGTTAGGGTGCATAGTAAAGATTTCTACATAGATCAGATAACTTTACCTCCAAGTGCCCACTTATGACTTGTCGCATTAGAATGAAGAAATTTTGGATGAACCCTGACATGGTCCATGCCAACTGCAAGTCAAATATAAAACATAAGCACTTAGCAAAGGTCCAGAAAAATTAAATAGCATGTAAAAATAAATAAATAACTAAATAAACTCATAAAATCAGACTTGTGCCCATAGCAAACTCCTTGCCATAGAATGCAGGCACTGAAATGGGAAGAAGAAAGAAAGGTGTAACCAAAATATGATCAAATACAATACTGAAAACTAACAAAAGAATACTCAAAAGTTGAGAAAATTACTCCAAAATCAAGTGCAACCATCTCTTCTCCATTTCTCTTTTAACCTCTTGGTTCCCTTCCTCCTTAGAAGATGATCAAACTTACTAACAGTAACTAATATGTTCAGATATCTCACAAAGAAAATAGTTCCTGAATTTTTCCACTCTGATGCTTTTGATTGTTTCTCCCAGGACACCATCTCAGAACATAAAAAACTTCACTACCTCCTAAGCCTCATTTACATATGCTACCACTGGTTCATCTCATAAACATAATTAACCCCTGATACTATCTAACAGGAGGTCTATACATGCCATGTACCATATGATACCCGAAATACAAATTATTAGCCACAAAACAAGTCTAATTGGTGTTCTAGTGTTTCTTCGTCCACTACCTTCAGAATTTCCCTTACAGTCCATACTAGAAATCAGAGTAATGACCAATTGTTTTTCTCCTCTTTTAGAACAAGTAATACACCAGTTCTCAACTCAACTCAATTGAAAAAAACCTAAAGTTCAAAATTTGCACTCTCAATAGATAAATCCCAAGGAATTTTCCCAAAGCATAATTAGTAAGTTTCTGAAATTTTAAGAGAAGGGTAGAATTTGATATCTACATCATCCAGACTTAATTCATGAATAAAATAAGTTAATAAATCCAATACAAGAGAAGCTCAAAAGCCTATTTGAGATGAACATCATGACCAATATCTAACACCATACAGTTCATAATTCGAAGACGATCGAAGATGTCTCTCTTCCAATTATCAAACCCGATACAAGCAAAATTGTTACCCAATCCAACCGGGAAACTAATCCAAAAATGTATTAACAGGTTAGAATGCAGAGGAAATCAGTACCTGAATACACTTCCAAATCAGCAGAAGAAGCCCCCTCATAGTCCCCAGCCTTCCAAAACTGCCTGCAGCTCTGCTCACGGACGCCCAGACTCATATTAACCGCTGCTGGAACCTCCGCCACCTCTTCTGAAATCGGAAGGGGATCCTCGGGCGGGAGAGACGCTAGGAATCCCAAAGGCAACACAACCTCCTCCTCAACCTCCCCAAGCTTCCTTTTCTTCGCAACCCGACCATCCCCTTGGAAAGCAAAAACACCACCAACCAAATCGTCCAAATCATCCCCGGAATCCGAATCATCGCTACTGCTGCTGCTACTCAAGTCGATGACTGAGTGAATAGCTTTTGCAACAGCGGCGCCATCACTCTTCCTTGTCTCCCGTCGGCCGGTCGCTTGAAAGATTTCCTCCTTAACTGGAAACTCCATTGCTGTACGGAAGAAACCAAAAGATATTTAAGGAAAGTGTAGACTCAGAGGCTTTTAACGGAACAAAACTTGCTTTGCATGAGATTCAAAAGATGGACCGACGGAAAATGGACGGACGACGGTTTTTTCCGTCGCTTGGGATTTCGTGTAGCCTTTTCTCCAGAGAAAGCGAACAGATTTTGGGGATAGGAAAAAAGGTCGAGTTGATTTTTTTTCGAAGGGAAATGATTTGAAATAATTCTTTTGTATTATCTTTTTGCTATAATTTGACGTGTTATCATTATTTTTTTTATACTGTTACATAATAATAATAAAAGGCAATTCGTCCTCATCTCTTGCCCTTACTCATATATTATATATTTA